AATTTTCTAAAGTGTTACAATATTTGATGGCCTATCGTTCACTTGTCAAACTGCCGCTATATAATTTATCGCACTGTCACGGTCAAAGTTCGATGAAAATCTTACGAGAAAACCGACAAAGTGAATCTTAAAGTGACAGCAGTGTTTTATGTACTATTTAGTATTTAAGTGGATTTTTGTGGATAGTGGATAATTTTTTGCAGGAAGTTCAAGATTACTAAGTTAAAACTTTACATCAATTTTCAATTTCATCCGCGAACAAATGGTCAGAACGGGTCAAAAATAAAAAATAAATAAATTAGATTCATATATGACTTTCTACCATTATTTTAACATGTAAATGAATTAGAATTTGAATTTCCCGCAAATTTTCTGAAGTGTCACAATATTTGATCTCCTGTCGTTCAGTTGTCAAACTGACGATCTGCCGCGATATAATTTTTCGGACTGCAGAAAACAGGTCAAAGTTCGATGAAAACATACGAAAAAACCGAAAACGTGAATCTTAAAGTTACAGCAGTGTTTTAGACTCTGGTGGAAATGGATTGAATCTCAACTGAACTTAGAGAGGTGGGCAAAGTAAAAATAATGAAAAACATAGATAAACATATTTCGTCATTTCACCCAGGGACTTTATTATTATTATCATTATAATATCAGAGAAATACGACTTCTCACTTGAGAAATGGTGTAAATAATACTGACTTCTCAGGTTATTAGTAAAAAATTCCTGTTTGCGAATAAAATCCAATGCACGCCCAATTAGGTGGAAGACACTAATGGACATCCTGAAGGAAAATCACAAAGTTCCTGTTCGGTTGATGATCATATACCATCATTTAGAATGCACATTCATTACCGAGTGGTACATGAACGCTATTAATAGGAAAAAATAATCGTAAACATATTTTTCCATGCGATGAATCAACGCTAGTCCATTTGAAAAGTAAAACCAGTCCAAAGGATATGCGGTTCTCACGGTCAGATGTTTAATTTCTTAATAACATGCTTAACATGCCAGCAATGTAGTTTTTTCTGTGTCCTGCGCTACACCTTAATATGGAGAATTACTTGCCTCTTAATGTGCAATTAGTTTTGATATAATCTGCTCTTGCCTCTTTTTCTATGTTCCTCTTAACAATTTCCTTATCTCTTCTTGTCATAATCTTTTCGCTCTTCTTGGCCGAGCCGTTCAGTATTTAATGCCCTTATCTTAATGGCGCCTCTAAGAATCTACTTTAATAAATGTTTGTCATTTTTCACTGGACGATTTAATGTCCAAGTATTAATTAAGAATGTTTTTAAGAAGCTCTGATTCAGGCTAGTATTCGCAAATGACACCTGACAGCAACTAAAAAAACACGTTTTCTATCGCCTTTGTCTACTCTTTAATTCCTGGAGACTTGAAATGGACCCCCTGTGTATATGAAGGTGAATTCATTATTGAGCCCTCATTATTTATATTAGTCCTTCCAAACCGTTTTCTGTCTCTATCATTCCAACGCTCTTATCTCGACAGCAGTGTTCATTCTCTAGAGAACCAACTCTAGCTCGAGAAACAACAGTAATTTTTCTTTTGGATAGGAACATCGTTGGGAATTAAATGCGAATGCTTCGGGCATTTTTACTACGCAACTATTTATGCTGTTGATTTTTAAGATTCAAGTTCACCAAAATGGAGAAAAGCTGCGATCCGAATTTGCTTGAATTAGCAAAGCAATTACTCAAAACGGAAAAGTTCCAAAGCCACTTCCGACAAAACGAAGAAATCCTCACCTAGACAGATTATCTGCTTAACACGCCTTAAAAACTGCAACGTTATCCTAGAAAAATCGCCAAGAAGAATTAATGGCTAGAAAAACTGACCTGTTGAATGTCTTGAAGGAAACGGTGCGATTTCTATTTCCACGAGTTGTTAAGTGACGTGGCGAGGGAACATTTCGACATAAATTGTCGTTTAAAAACGTCCTGGTATTCGCACCGAGTGATTTAGAGACTAAACGACAATTTATATCGACATGTTCGATATCAACGGAAGATAAAACTGAAATAAAATGAAAAACCCAACGTCTAATTATGATTATGAGATCCGACGGCAGTCAGGCAAAGAATACGAACAACAGGCAATTAGTTCGTTACAAAACTCCAGCTGGCTGGTCTCAATGTAACATCGTTACCTAACTAACAATATTTTTGCGATTTTCTCGTGATTGATTGGTCAAATTGTGCAAGTTTGATCCTCGCTCGGCCTTTCGAAGGTTCAAACGCCGTTCTTTTGCATCTCCGCATTAAATATGTATGCGAACTTATACGTTAAACGTAAACTCAAAAACGCAAAAGAAATGTGACCCAATTGTGCTAATTAGATAGAATAATCGATGCTAAAAAGATTAAATAACCAACACAGGCAAAATCGCTTAATTTAATTTGATTAATATGAGAAGAAACCGTAGAAAGGACGCTCGCTCGGCCTGTTTTACGACAAATGTTACTGATATTTACCTTTAAATGTAGGTTAAACTGGTGTTGTGGTTTCGGTTTCCGTTCGGTTCGACTTTCATTCTGTTTCGCCGTATGGAAAAAAGGAATAGTGCTTTCAACTGATTGGGCATACTATTTATATAATGTGTCTTTGTTGGAGCTACGCGCCCTAATGAACTAATAGAGGTTTTAAACGTTCGTCCAGGCCGCTGGAAAAGCGCCATTACAATTATCTTCAAACACGTCCACTCATTTGGCGTTTGTTATAAATCTGAAAAGAGTTTTGAACACAAAAAACCGAGACAAACTGAAATTTCCGAAAACTGAAGCAGCTTAAGCATCCGTTTCAACTAAAGTAGAAACTTGGCTGCATAATGAAAGAAAGTTTCTTCCAATTTAACTTTTCACGAGTTTCACTACGTGCATTTCACTGCTCCGGGTAATTCAATAGAAACAATTTAATTATGTTTTCCGTGTTTTAGAAATATTCCGGCTCAGCCTTCTAATTCAAACACAAAACGGTTGATATAAATGCATGATCCATTTAGAACGCCGCTTGGGAAGCATTAACGTTTACTTTTAAAAACAGAGTTATTTTGAATGGAAGGAGCTAAATTGACCCAGTGAACAACAAGCATGTAAATCAGATGATGGCATGTTTATATTGGTCACATTGCGGTTCGTTTAGCCTCTCTGGTGGGTCGAACAGATTTATTTTACGAATGAGCTTGAAACTGATATGCTATTAATACATTCGCTATGAATGTCGCATTATTTCGAACTTTTAATTATATTTGTTTTAATGTAGTTCGTGCCTAAAACCGAATTCCTTCGTTATGAGAATTTCGAGAATTTCATTTTGTAATACTAAGCGCCAAAGTCGAGGTGCAAATAAAGTTATTTGCACTTTTCGCGAAACTCGAGCGGTGAATTGCAAAATTGCAGTTCGCCTGCCTTCTTGTATTCCGGCATGTTAGCAAGATGCAAATTGATATCGGCACATTTAAATTGCGAAATAACTTCGATTATGGCCTCAAAGGTTAGAAATGGGAATGGAAAATTCCGGATTTGTTGAATCAGTCCACATAAAATCGGCGCTCTTTAGCGGCTTCTCTATACTGTGCATGTCCCAAACCGCATAGAGCGCTCTGCAGTTCAAAGCTGTTGTTCCAACAGCCAGTGGAACGAGTGAAAATATTTGCAATGCCATGCAGAGGATTTAAATTACGTGGGTATCCATGCGAAAGGACGCACATACTAGAGATTTCAAAGTAGCAGCCCCACATGCTCATTGCTTTGAATCCGGAGTTTTTGTCTATGAATTAATAATAGAATTCAATTGCAAATACCGAACAACACACACCTTTCAATAGAACTTTTCTTATCTGTTTGCCGCCGAACTAAACTAATTTATTTCTGTTAATAAACCAACAAAACAGTGAATCTTCCAGTACGCCCAGCGAGATGATGAAATATTTCCGTAACACATTGCGCGATTTGCCTTATCACACACACCAACATAGAAATTAATTAGTCATACTCTACTTAACATGCAGCAAATCATTGACTATAAAAGATATGCGGTCAATTCTCCTTTAACTGCCCATTTCCTTGAGAATACCGTTGCGCTCTTAAGCAATTCCAATTAGAAATGCAAATCGATTGTGATTACTGAGATGTTTACTGCTTAATGGAATATTTGTTTCCCTAATTATTTGAAAACCAACCTGAAGTCATAGGGAATAGTTGAATATTCTCGCTAATTTAGCGGGGTCTTAAGCAGAGCCGTCAACGGTCCAGGGTTTCAGGCAAAAGTAATGAATTAGAAAACCGGTTGAAATACGTAAAAAATAATAATAAAGACAAGCTACTGCCGCACCTCAAATCTACTAAATCACGTTCAAGTCTACTCATAATAACCACAATTGCGCAACTTAATTTATCTGAAGCTTTTGACCACTTTTTTAAACACCTAATCAGCAACAATTATAATGTTAATCACATCGTTTATCTCCATAAAGCCTTTCTCTTCATTGGGACGACCACATCAGCGCTTGCATCACATTCAAGACCTGATTTCCAAATTATCTCGAAATTGTAAATGGTTTAAGTAGATAAAAATAATTCTTCCGTTCCCTCCAATAAAAATGATTAACGGCTTGGACGTGGCACATTTAGGGACGTTTTTATTATTCACAATTTTCCCAGCGTTATCTTCGGCTCGGAATGTAATAGATCTATCTTGGTTAGTGTTGGTCCCAAGAAGAGACCGAAATAATCGATAAAAAAGCTGTTTTACCCAAAAATTTTGGATTTTCGTTTCCAAGTTTTTTCGCTGTTTGAGTCATATGCATAGTGCACATGTATATAGAGTAGTGTGTGTCATAAAAGCGCAAGTTATGAAGTAGTAACAAAGTTGGGCGCGAGTTGGTATTAAAGAAGGATAATATTGGGAAAACCGACCGATAATAACCACTCAACAAACAAACTGGGATTGGAAAAGTAAAATTACTGCCTACCTTATAGATGCCATCTACAAGCTTTATGAGTTCTTCAGTCTCCATGGTGGACGCTGTTGCTGATGTGTTCGGATTATTAGTTAATCACATGCCATTTGACATGCATTTATAGATCTTGGACGCTGCCGAAAGCACTTAAACCTGCAAAAAATCAGTTTCAATTAGCGCAGTTTGATTTATCTCACCACAGGTAGTTGTAATTTTACGCTGTTTTTCAGAAGGTACTGTACTTTTTTGCCCGTTTAGCACTTAGAACATGTTCTTTACCCCAAATAGCAGACACTCAGACTTCAATGACCATCTATAAATTACCCACGAATTGTCGCGTCGATTTCGATCACGCGATTAATAGTGGAGCTTAAATAACGAAGCGGATATAAGTTGGTGCTTACACAAACACACATAGACACATAAAATGTTGATTAATTATTGCAAAATACGAACACCCATATGGAAAGATAATCGTTGCTGAATGGGCCATTGAGGCATTAAACCCACCCTCTGTTTGTTCAGGAAATTTAGGATTACAATGTGGAAATCAACAGTCCACCGTTAAATTACATTGCGTAATGTTAATAAAATAATGTATTTTTGAAAAACAGTATACAAAGCTACATTTGCTGGTAGATCAATGCTAAATTAGTGTCGGCTTGAAACCAAACATAAAGCTGTTTATTTAAAACCCGCCTGATGCATTAATACGAGGCTGATTCTGAAATATTTCAGTCGGATAATTAAAAAGTCGAACCAACTTTGAATTTTTAGCTCGAAAGTTGGTCTCATTCAGACTGTTAGGTAGTTGTCGCACTCAACCCAACACTCACAAACAACTAGTTAAAAGTTTACCGGGAAATTCTTCTGGGATCAGCATAATGACTCGAATAACTCAGGTAAAAGTAGTGAAAATTAAAAGTCTCAGACAAAAGGCTCAGAAATTAATTAGTCTCCAAATTGAAGAGCTTTCATGCAAAACAGTGAGGACGATCGCTGGAAAATGGGTAGTGGACAAAAATTTCATTCCCAGGCGTTTTTGGAGATTCTCCGATTCCTGCCTGCCTGATCGTCAAAAATACCGTGTAGTAGTAGTAGTTCCCTATTGCCTGTCTTCACTAAGTGCTGCACTAAATTAAAATTTAAAAAGCGTTTGCGACAGTTTCGTTGTCAAAATTTTTTTCTCTTCCAGAGATTAAACGCTGAAAGATTAACTAAATTCTTGCTTTTTACCATTCCCCGTCCTTTTCTCTACCCGGTTGTCTTGTCTTCTCCCAGCGAAAGTTTTTTAAAAAGACTAAAAGCTATAAGCGATTAGACTGGTCGCAAAGGACTTTTTGCCCTCCGAGCTTTTGCATTGACTAAGTCAGAAAACTTAGCGAACAAAGTAGTGAGCATTCGCCTATTTTTTTTGGAATTAACAATGAGTAGAAAATGTTGTCATTTACAGGAAATCAATGGGAAAAGTGTGCAACAACATTCAGCAGGAGAAAGGAAAGTGACGATTGTACGCTCACTTTTGACATCAGCAAAAACTTGATTTTATGTAGCTGGAAGTAATTATAGCCATTTGCTGACTAGGCGTTGCCTTAGAACTAATGCAAATCAGTTCAGTGAAAATTCTCAAAAAAAATGCCGCAAAATCCATGTATATTTTACGCACGTTCCTGTTGAGTCCCATGTTCAAAATACAGCTTTTAGCGGCTGCATTTTCACGCTTCCACTGTGCGAAGTGCTCATTAATGTATCCCGGCATGCAAAATAATTTGTGTCTTTTTATCCATCCCAGAACGGCCATTGTTTGCCGCGGTCGAATTGCATCAACTTGTAGTCGCATTTAAGGAAAGTTAAAATACAAGAGCATAAAAGACAAAATTGTCTTCCCGCAATTGGTTTACTGGGCGGATCTGGGACACAAGTTCTGATTTTATTCGAAAAAAGTGCCATTTTCCGATCAGAAGCGATGATCATAAAGAAGCACTTTTTATTAGCATTGCATCATTATATGTTTTAAAGTATTTTCATTCGAAAGTAACTGGCGTGTTTTCTCAATAAATACGTAAGTTTCAAACAACTATTGATCTTAATCTAAAGTTTACTTACGTGAATTATAACTATGTTGCAAGTTCAGTTTCGAAGTCGTTTTCCTATTTTTCTGGGTTCGCCGATGCTCACGCGCAAAACACGGTCTTCTTGAATAGCGCAAATGTCTTGCAAAATATACAACTTATACAAATAGCATACATATTTTCAACACCCATTGTTTCACTTGTATTTGCTTAGAAAAAAATTGCTTTAGAAAAATTACAAACGTCGAAAGGTGACATTTGAAACATGGCATTGACATCACCCGTCAGCCGTCGTGGTTCAAAAAACGACACTTTTCGCCCTATACAGGGTGATTCAAAATTGGCGTTATTCCTCTGGGGGTGCGGTCTGGGGTCTTTTGTGAGTACAAGGAAAATATTTTAAAAAAATAATTTTTGTTAATAACTGAGATCTTTGCAAAAAACTAGATCAGAAGGATGGATCAAGGGAATGTACCTCAATAAATTGCATAAATACGTGTATAAAATTAACGCAAAAAAAATTTCTATATTTTTCTCGTACTCTCCAAGTGAACCCCTATTACCCCTGAAAAGGAATGACGCCATTTTTGAATCACCCTATAGTTTTTTGCAAATTTCTCAGTTTTTAATAACAATTACTTTTTTAACTATTTTTTGTGTACTCCTGAAACACCGCCAGTTTTAATTTGAAATTAATTATTATTGTCTGTTCAAGTGCGGCGTTTACTTTTTGGGGATTAATGGGTAGAAAATGGAGAATTTGGTACCAGCTTGCATAAAGCTGGTGAGAATGATTTCTAATCTTTAAGTTCATAGCTTGAACTGAGTATAGCTTTTCAAAATGCAACTGAAGTTTAATGGATTTTCAATAGCATGGTCTTTGGACAGATTTTAGGTTCTACTAAACACATTTCCTTTTTTCTTTCCAGGTGGCACGATGCAGCTTTCGGTAAGTTTGGCTTTACTTTTCCCCTGGTCGTCATGTAGATGTAGATGAGAGTTCCATATTTATTAGCTTTCCACGCCTGTTGGTTTAGCATTAATTGTGCAAAATATTGCTTCGTTTAGAGCGGCATTGTAGTAAATCTAGATCCACACGTTCACTGAAATGCCTGATGATGGTGAAGGCAGATTGAAACGTTCAGAGTATATATGCTTGGTTTTGCTCTATTCTATACGCTTTTTCTCAAGTTTCTGACTCAATTTGAGCTTGAGATGCGAATTTTCCGACGGCAACCGACACTTTCACACTGAAGTTCCTGCCGGGGGTAAAAATTGCACTAACTGAACTTATAGAAAGAACTTTCCGCTTGCCGATGAAAATTTCCTCAACTTTTCAGCTCAATTTTTAGTCTTGAGAAGCAAATTTCCAAACAGTTTTCCGCATAAAAATGTGACTGAAATGGAAAATTTGCTCAAAAATATCTGATGAAGGAGAAAAATTGAAAATTTCACGCTCTTTCAAGAAGACTTATTCATTCCAATGAAATTTTTCCCAATATTTCTGCTCTATTTACATTCGATGAATATCGAAAACTATTTAATATGAATATTTTTAACAGGCGATTTTCGCGACCCCCTCTGGTTAAATACAAAAGCCGATATTTAGCGTCCTCGTTATAAAACAGAGAAAATTTCTCCTGTTCAAAGGTGAGGTAAAATTGCGAGATTCACTGTGCGCCAAAGGGGAGATTATGCAAGTCCCTCTGCAATTAATAAATTATTTGCAAGACGTGCACAGTCCTGAGCCTTCGTGTGATTTTCTCAAATCAGCCACCAGACATCTCAGATGTAATAATCAAATTTGCATACTCCACATATAAGCTGCACAAGCAGGGAAATTTATGGACACTAAAACTGCACGGCGATTTGGCAGCAAATCATCCAAGAGAATGCAAAAGTGATTCATATCTAAACTACTTTTCTAAAGTTACCCGGTTGGAAGATTAATCGCATATCCAAGTTTCCAATAAAAACTTTTCATTGCGCTAGGTATACATACATGGCAAAAAATGTAACAAATCTGTATTCAGAGAGATCAGTAACATAAACAGAGCAAACAACAGTAAATCAGAATTAACGAGAAAATTTTAATATCGCATGTTTGTTGATTCTGAACTCCGGAATCGACATTCGCCTGTTCAAATACAGCGAAATTCAAAACCGAATAGGCTTCGACCCATGCGAGTGAATCGCATGGCTGGAAATGGACGAAAACAACAGAAAAACCTGCTAACATCAAACGAAAGTAACACCAGAATATTCATTATGAGCATCTAAACAATACCGCAAACAGTGCTGGTTTGATCAGCTTTACCTTGCCTTATGGTAAAAAATAGCCATACCGTCGAGACTTTTACACTTTCAATGCTTTCAACGATAATTATTTGCCAAGCAGTGAAGGTTGAATTGTTGAATTCATGCAGTCCCGTCCACATTCAATGGGCATCAATAAATCAATAGAACGTACTTTGTTGATTATGATAAATGCTAGTATTTACTTGGGTTTGCAAATAATTTTCCTTTGAAGTAAGGGTGGCCATCGGCTATATTTCGAATTCTAAGTTTTTCATGGCTAACGTGGCCATGAATCGCTATTGCTTCTCGATTTCAGCCAATCTAAAGTTGTTTTGCAGCCAGAAACTTATGCTAAGGCCTTTACACTTCAAAACAACTCAAGGTTCATATGGCGTGAAGCTCCATATTGCTATTGTTATAATATTTTCCGAAAAAAATGCGACAGCAACCTTGAGCATGAGACTTAAATTGCTGCAGAAAAACAATGTCGGATGAGTACTGACAAGGAAGCACCACGAACACCCATAATTAGCAGTTGAAGAACTGTCGACCTTGCGCGAAGATTGCTCATCTTGCCGGTTTCAATCTAGCGTCCTTCGTGCGTTTTAATCGCATTGGTACCGGCAACATAGCGAAGTGGTACCGTAAACACCAACCAAGCAAATGAAATAAGAAGAATCGTAGTAAAGTAGCGGTCGATGGTTCTGCAAGGTTTACTAATAAGTGGTGGCTTTTTCTACAGCGGTAGAAAATTGGATATCGAGACGCAGTGTCAGCAACTTC